TGACGAATTAACGCAGACCTTTTACGATAGCTAATGTGATTATTCTCTCGTTTGACCGGACAAGATGCTACAAACATATCTTGAGGATGTGCTAAGATTAAACTCAATTCATCACCAATCACCATGTCCATACCCTAAAGGGCTTTGACGGAAAGTTCCTCGATGACACTTAGGATTTCTCCAGCCAGTCAGTGTTCTCGCTGAACATTACGTTCGAGGTAGCTTGTAATCTGTCGGCGAATGTTTTAAAAGACCCGTTTAAAAGATCCGTATTAATTTAACATAAAGTAAGGAGTCGGAGCACCAATAAAGCAGAGAGTTTGTGCTTTATTGTGGCAATTAGCAAACCCGTTGCTAAAACAAAGGCTATTATGTTATTAGAAAAGAAAAGATCTTTTGTAAGAATACACTCTAAGATTAAGTTAGGCACATGATTACAAATTTAAAATTATAAGTTATAGTAAAATATAATGAGAAGTTCAGTAAGATTTGTAAATTTTATGTTAGGTAGTTTTCAAGCGAATGCTGTTCGTCTCTGACTCTAGAGGAGTAGAAACGCTGACGAATGCGAAAACTTCTGGTAACAAATGCACGTGCAATGCTTGTTTGATCTTTTTAACACGTGCAGTGCTTGTTTGATCCTGTCAAGGCTACGGTAACAAACACATGCAGTACTTGTTTGATCCTGTCTACGGATCACATCAACACATTGTGATGATGGATCCCGCTCAGAGTTCTTTTATTCTTGAAACAAATTACTATTTCATATGATTTTTAACAAGTTAAAGTTTTGCACGATCTGAAAAGCATTGTTGCAATGTTACAGATTAGCAGATTATTTTTTAAATGTCTGTAAATGTCGCTCCTGAACGGTAATGGGCGTTGGGCGTACTATTCAACTATAATAATATTAATTAATTGTCCGTGCGTTAAGTAACCCTTAGCTGTGTTATCCGTGCCTCAAGTTTCCACCGACAGATTTCCGATTTTATTTAATTTTCGGTCAGATTTGAGTTTACTTTATTTATTTGTTTTTATTTTTAAATTAAAAATTTTAAGAACCTAACCTGTGTTAATTGTATTTTAGGATTAGGGATACTACGATATCCATAATTTCACATAATAATATATACTTAGTATTGTGAGTGCTGCATGGGTCCAGTGCTGCATTTGACCTTGCAGGATAATCTTTATGCAGAGACATCTAGCCACCACGTGTCATTTAATTGTAATTAAATATATGGACACGTTCATTGAAGTTTGAGGATATTGGTAAATATTAGTGACCCTACTAAATGGCACGATGATGTAAAATGTATCACACTATAAAACTATATAAATCCTCAATGGTTAGGATAATCGTTTCATCTTCTAGATAAAATTTGTCGCATAACGATATATTTATCAGACGATAAGATATCGCTTAAATGCGGCCGGCAGTGAGTTGTAAACTTTGTCACACTATAAAAACGTGACAGAGTTTATATGGACCCCTTGTTGCCGTGTTTGACCAAATTTTCGAATTTCCATTCTATAGGATAGTTGCATATGACTAGTATCTACATATTTAGCGACTTTTTTCGTTAAATGGTTGCACCATGTAAACTCCGTCACACATTTAAGAAATTTATATGAGGGATGTTTATGACATCCTGACAAGAAATGCCGAATAGTCTAGCATTATTTTCTGAGCTGAATGTGTTTGGAATTGTTCACATATTTCATTGTTATAGGCAAATACAAATACAGAAGGCAGAAATGGGTAAACTTTGTCACATACATTTGTATGATATCTCCACATGTGTGAAATTGAGTAAATATTAGTATACCAACTTAAACACCCTATATTACGTACTATGGATCAATTAACAATATTTCAACCACACACCGGTCATATAAATTATTATATGGCAGTGATATGTTAACATTGGCAAAATTTCAACACCTGAACATGGTAAAAATTTGTAAATTTCGTCACAAAAAATATGATAACTTTATTTGCTATTTGTTGGCAAAATAACTAGTTTATCGACATAGGTATGGTGATAAAGTAACATTATATCCTATTCGAGGTATGATTCTTCAAAATAGGGGGCAAGAAATGTAAATTTCGTCACATCAGCCCTTGCATTAGTTAGATAGATTTTCTTTCATATCAACAGTCCTTATTATAGTTAGAATGGATTTACACAGGAAATATAGAAACCCATGCCAATTTTTCATCACATTGATATTATACTGTTGGGGCAGGAAAAGTAAATTTCGTCACATTTCAGTAACTTAGTAAAATTAAACTCAGCATTGTTAAACTTGAGTTCTAATTTGCTAAACAATAACCAACCAATAATTCCTGGAAGAACATTGAATTCTAACCGAGGTATGGTTCTTCAAAATAGGGTCAAGAAATGTAAATTTCGTCACATACGAGTACGTCATTGTAAAATTTAGATACAATTTCTTTCACGTGAACAAGGCACAAATACCTGATAACACCTGGAACTCAGATTACGATCTTATCATGGATTCATGTTTGCTTTGCAACTCATGCACACCCAGGTAATCATTGTTTCCAAATTCAACCTATTTACGATGTCATTTTGTGACGATGTTTACATCAACTGCCCTATACTTGAATCAACTGTATCCGTGTATCGTCCTTATATAGAGTTTTCCCGCCTTCCAAACCAAAATCAGATATAAATGATTTCGGAAATTCACCCAGAATTTCAAATTCCATATAATGTGACAGAATTTACATCATTTCCCAATATAACCGAGTGCATGTATTTGCTAACTTTTCAAAACAACATATTTTTGGGCTATGATTGGCAGAAGAACCATCAAATAATGAGTTGAAAGGGTTTTGAGGACACCTCACAGTAGAAAAGAGGTCGCGTATTCTGAGTGTGACAAAGTTTACGAAATATTGCCTTAAAGCCGTTCGATCCGTGCCCTTTAACCAATGTTGTATCATAATTGTTAGATTGACCTAATCTACTATATTTCCGACCAAAGAATGATAATTGGGGAGCTATGGTAAACAATGTCACAAAAATGTGACATTTTTTACATTATAGTGCCTAAAAGCAATACATTTTCTTTCTGAGCAGTGCATATGGGAGTATGGGTCACGTGGCTAATGTTCAGAACTTATGAACACGCTAGATTAATAGATGCTAAAATTAAGCCACTATCGTCGAAAACGCTATTTTAGAAATTTACCAATATCCTCAAACTTCAATGAACGTGTCCATATATTATATACAGGGTGGCCCATAAGTGACTACCCACACGCAACCTCTTAATAACTCACGTAATTCGTCTCCAAATTGCACCAAAATTTCAGAGATTATAGATATGGGTCAAACTTAGATTTCCTGAAAGTTTCGTAAGCCACGCCCAATTACAGTGGGCGTGGCGTGACACTCAATAAAAATGGTTCACTATCCTCCCTTTACTGCAGAACAACGATTGTTCGTCTACCTGAAGAAAGAAAATGGGGAGTTCTACCCTCAGATTAAACGACAATTTCAGATGAAATTCAACCGACCACCCCCTTGCCGGAAAAGCTGCTTTGACATTCATCACAAGATCAAGTTTACGTTTTCTGCACACGATCGGCGAAGAGTCGGCAGAAGACGAACTGCGAGGACTGTAGAAAACATCACGATGGTTGTTGGTGACGTGATGGACACACCTAAGATTGGCACCCGGAAACGAGCTCCTGCCTTAGACCTCAGCAGAACAACCCTTCAGCGAATCCTAAAGCAAGACCTTTCTAACCGGGCCTACCGAATCACAAAGAAACACAAACTTTTGGACCGTGATTTCCAATCGAGGATAGATTTCGCCAACACATTCCTTGAAGTTGAACATCTTAATTGAAATTATTGAATTGTTTTTGTGTGGGAATTTTTATTAGTTGATTTCATTTATTGATTTATCCTAAAAATTTGTGTTTTCCTTTCTAGCAAAGACATCATCGGTATCCAATCAAAGCCTAATGAACCTCATTAATACACGCTAACGCCTTACTCTTGATCAGATTGGGTGACGAGATCACTAATTGAGTGCAAATATCACTGACTGAGTGCTCGGATCACATATCCGATGGTTTTTAAAGTGGTCATAACTCAGCCATATTTTAACCAATGAACTTGAAACTTTTGGAAAAGTTTTCAATTATCTAGCCAAATGTGTGCAAAACATTTTGAGTTCTTAGCTTAAAGCGTTCTCATTTTATGAAGACAATAGTGAAAAAGAGGGGGTGTCACGCCACGCCCACTGTAATTGGGAGTGGCTTACGAAACTTTCAGGAAATCTAAGTTTGACCCATATCTATAATCTCTGAAATTTTGGTGCAATTTGGAGACGAATTACGTGAGTTATTAAGAGGTTGCGTGTGGGTAGTCACTTATGGGCCACCCTGTATTTCTCGTTGTTACGTTAAATGGTCAATTTATCTGGCGAACATTTTATGATAATAGATACAAAGATACATATTATATATAATATATAATATATTTATTGTCTAAAAAATTACAAGCTGAAGTTTTTATTGGTGTCTATTGTCCCTCACCCTCCTATAACAGTAGCGTATTGTAAGTGGTCCCAGCTTGACTGTCTCAACCATAACTAAGTAGCAGTTACAAACATTTACAGCCTTGCAGAACTTTATTTCATAATAATATTATTGACTGCATGTCTTATTTATCCAAGGTTTTTGTTTGAAAACTGATTATGATATAATGAATTGTACATAACCCCACTATAACCCCCAACTGCCACAGCATGGTACGCCCCCCTCCGGGAACCCCAGCCCCCTCAGCTGACCTCCTCCTCTCACTCCCCTACCTTCTCTGCCTCCTAGTCGGGTTTCCCGCCAACCTGTGCGCTATGATCTACTTCCTCCGCAAGAAAAGACGGGACCTGCCCAACTACCTCTATATCTTCAGTTGCTTTAACGACATGCTGACCAACCTGCTGGTGGTTCCGGTTATAGCCAGTTTGTGGAGTGGCAGACAGGAGGCACTGTACGGGTACCCTGTTCTCTGTACTGTATTCGGCATGTTCCTCAAGATGCAGGTTAGTAACACCTTAGTTACACCTTAGTATCACATTAGTATCACCTTAGTAACACATTAGTAAACCTTATTTAGTAACACCTCAGTAACACCTTAGTAACACCTCAGTAACACCCTAGTAACACCTTCCTATGCAGGCTAGTTTCTCTGTGTTCCTGGTAGCAGTGCTAAGTATCACCAGGACAGTCATCTTGTTCCGCCCCTTCCTGGATATATCTACCCGGACAGTGCTACTAGTAGTAGGAGGGTACGGGGTATACCTGGTGCTGAACCAGGTGGTCCCCCTGGTGCTCCAGAAGACTAGGTTTGTGTACACAAGTGAGGAGGTGTACTGCTGGGACGATGGTACCTCCCAGGTGTGGGATAAGCTGGATATATGGTTAGATCTGATAGTTCTGGCTGTTCCTGTTGTCCCCATAACCATTAGCTGTGTGCTGTCTTGTATATTCGTGGGGAGGAAGGGGAAGTATCTCTCTGAAACTGCCAGTGGAGGGAGTGCTAACTCCAAGAGGGCTACCCGGACTATTATCCTCATGACGGCTGTGTACATCCTGTTTAATATCCCCCTGTTTGTTAACTACCTACTGTGGACTATCTCCGTTAACACAGGTAATGTGACGTATCCTGATCCGTACTGGAACACTACCTTCACCTACTGGTTTGTGTGGAACTTCACGGACTGTCTCTTTATAAACCTAAACTCTCTGTTCAACCCTCTGGTGTATTTCATGAGGATCAAGACTTTCAAAGAGTGGGTTTATGAGAGATGCCGTGCTGTTAAGGGGAAGATATCATCTACATTTGTATTGAAATGTAGATGAAAATAGTGGATTTAGAGCAGGGGGTTGATATCATTATCTTTGATAATAATAATAGAGGGCCTTATGGTTTATCAAATGCTAGGAACTTTTAACAACTTTAATAAACGTATTTTTTTACCGTAGAATCGAATAAAAGTTGTCCGGTAATGATTGGATTGATTTTTAAGTGTATTTTGGTTGGCTGAACTTATTGACAATTGCATTATTGGTGTAAATGTAAAATGACTGCATCCGTATTCCTTATTGGAGAAGATGTTTGTAAGTGTTTTGAAGGACTTTTAATAATGATGATATAAATATAATCATGTGATTATTTTATAACCAGATTCTTATTTGAGTTGGGGAGAAACTACATATGTATCCCCCCACCCCCAACTACAGTTGATAATTTGCCAAATTAATGTGAGCTGATATCAGACTAACGTTCTACAAAAAGGAATTGTGACTTAAACAAGGAAAATCAACTTACATTTGAGGAGTGACAAAGATATTTCCAGTTGAAGAATGGAAAAAAATCTTTGGTCCATTTGGGTCCATAGCGTATTTCCAGTAGTTCAATATCTGAAAATAAAAATGTAAGGCAGAATGCAAGGCGCCGAACTTTTATATCAATCATTTTTATTTTTCAAAGAAGAGCAGACCAGCGTTCTTGTTCAGCTGATGCAGCGGTAAAAATGTTATCATTGCTAAAAATCAGGTATAACTTCCACTGCTCAAGTTTAAATTTACGTTTTTCATAGCAAACCCCTCCATAAGACTAGGAAGGTACAGATCGTATAGGCAGAGTAGGGAGGATCTGATCTCATCTGAACTTGATAGCTTCTGGAGCTCCGTCAGTATCATCTCACCTAACAACCTCTTCTGCGACTCGTCTCTCTACAGTGACAATAGCTGTTTGTTGGCACTATGGTATATTACATGTGGGCGTGCGATAACGGTTCAAACCTCTTATCTTCAAGTATAGTGAGTTAAAACTGCTAATACATAATCTAAATTTTTCCCCAATACATGACAATGACAATGTGTTCAATGTTGGTCTCAGTTTGGTGTCATGCTTGAATTGATTTTGGACCTCTTGCCTATACTTTATTTGTTATAATTGGTCATGGTATTTGGTATTATGAGCTAATTTAATATGTACATATACATGCGGTATCTAAAAGTGTATAGCGAGCATATTTAATAATTGTATAGTGTATTGCAAGCAGCTGTAACCTAAATATTACATGACAATCATATAACTTAAAAATTAAATTTTACTGGAATATAAGGAAAACAAAATTAATGTCAGACCCGTCGCCAGTCGCCACTCTCAGCAGTCAACCAGGGCTCATAAAAGCTTAACAGCGCCTGGGTCCTTTCACCAGCTGTGGTAATGAGAGTGGCGGTGTGGTAACAGCGTGTATTATTGAGTAAATACCACTAGCTGCTATCATACTCATATCATTTACTTTGCAGTCAGATCAAGTATATTTATAATTGTATGTTGGATGTTATAATCTAGCGCTAAAACTTATTTTGGTATTCTTCATTCGGATATATATTTATGGATTGATTGTGTAATGAATTGGTGATAAATAATAAAATTGTCTTTTCTCAAAAAATTGTCTTTTCTCAATAAACTAATTCTTACCAAGGGGGTCCGGACTCTAGGGCGTAAGACTCTAGGGCGTAAGACTCTAGGGTCTTAGGGTTAGGGTTAGGGTTAGGGTTAGGGTTAGGGTTTGGGTTTGGGTTAGGGTTAGGGTTAGGGTTAGGATAAGGGTTAGGGTTAGGGTTAGGGTGATGGTTAGGGTTAGGGCGCCGCCCTAAAGTCTCACGCCCTAGAGTCTTACGCCCTAGAGTCCCGGACCCTTACCAAGTACTGTAAGACACCCTGACACTTCTTTTTCCTAAAGCTCCTGAAGATAATATTACTCTCGCTTGTTTCCAGTACCATCCTCCCTAGGTCAATATCAGATTGAGAGAAAAAGGTGTATTGATAGTCTAGCCGGACTGGAAGGGACAACCCAACTGTGAACGGGGACCCTATCATCGGCTTTACCTGGAATCAGGAGATTTGTGTTATTATTGTGATTTTGATGATGTCACCTCTGGAACAAACCTTATAAACAAACCTCATAAACAAACCTTATAAACAAACCTTATAAACAAACCTTACAAACAAACCTTATAAACTAACCTTATAAACAAACCTTATAAACAAACCTTATAAACAGTGTCCACTAGTATCTCCCTCCCTATAGGGTTATGTTTAGAGGTTAGGAAGACCTGTAGCCCCGTGTATTTGACAGTCCCCGCACCGTGTGACTCCTGCATGTCCCTTATCTTCTCCTTGTCGGGTCCTCTTTCCACCTGCGGAACACTTCACTTCAAGTTTTGCCAAAGTGGGTGGAAAGGGCTGTTAGATCGTTGTTAGAAATGCAATCAAAGTGGTTATTAACCGGCTATCAACCGGCTATCAACCGGCTGTTAGAGGGCTGTTACCGTAACAGTTCCTATTTGCCTGTTATATTACCTGCTGATACTCGAACTGTCGGGTAGTACCCGTAATATCAGGATGTGTTATCACGTGCTCTCCTCTACTGGTTATCACTCTCACATAGTTACTTAGTATCTTATCTTTCACTGAAATTAGGTGGATTGGTATCGTCAAATACCACGAAAAATCGTCGAAGATCGTCAAATATAGTGATAACTGATAAGCGTGCGTTCATCGTAAAATGTCTTACCAAAGTCCTCGAATATGGGGAAGTCTACCCCTACAACGCCTAGAAGTTTAGAAGAAGAATTTGGAGAGGTCCGAACTCTCTCCCTCTCCAGTCTTGTTATTATTTTACCAGTGTACTCTTCACCTTCTGCCAAGAAGAGGAGTTTGGTAATTGTTATATTGACAAATATTAATAGAAACTTCGGAATAGCATGGTGTACTGGGGTTTGCTTTTCAATATGGTTTTAAAGTTTCATGCTATCGATTAGTACCAGAAGATCAGAATATATCATGTACGCACTATGGCACATGACCTGAAGGATATATCATGTACGCACTATGGCACATGAACTGAAGGATATATCTTTTTGAATAGGCTAAATAATCCGGTGATAAATATAAATATCTTGAGGTAAACTTACTATTATGGTAACTGTAGAAGTTGTAGTCGTTTGATACCAAGACAGGTTGTACTAGAGAGGCTGCAGGGCTCAGGTTACCTGGACATGAATCACTATAAACAGTGTATTATATCCATCATAATACAGTGTATTTACCTAATAAATACACTTAATTTACGAGCTTAATATTTTTATGTTTCTGTCATTCGGGTGGCTACGTAGCCCATAGTTCCATTTCTCAATTTCAGGGCTAATGTAAAAACTTAATAATAAAAATTAGGGCAGATGAGCCGAAATGGTTCAGCTGGTGTGCCGTGGGGGATCAGCCCTCTCGGGGGGGGGGGGGGGGGGGGGGGGGAGTGGATCAGCCCTCTCACAAGATCTCCTTGCATATATGAGGTATTAATGACAGCTGCATGTATCATAGGGTCTATGATTAGTGTTAGTTAGTCGCAATCTATCTTAATTTCCGCACAGTAACACTCCTCAATTAACAGCACTCTTTAATTACAGTGGCCAAATAGCGTATCTGTTACTAACAAAGCTCCTTGTAACAGAGCTGCTGATAGATGTACTGTCGCTTTATTGTCAGTGCTACAGCCTAGTGACTCAACAACTTCTGCAGCTGTTCGTTTATTGTTATCCTTAGCTACAACCAGATTCCAACTCCACTCCCATTGCTTGACAGGATGAAAGGATATCTCCTCTGGTGGTTGACTCTCAGCACTGCATTATCCCTGACCAGCTCCAGCCTTTACTACGACTGGTACACTCACAAGATCCCCAACATAGAAGTAACCACCTCACCCCAATTCCAACTGTCCGTCCTGCACGGAGCGTCTGTCAGTCTGATAGTCCACTACCTGACCGAGGAGAGGATACCAGCTGTAGACTCAGAGTTAGAGAGTCCTATACCCACGGGGCTGCCTCCCTATACTACCCCACCCGGACTCGCTGACATGACATTTACTTGGAGCACTGACACTCAGTTTGTGAGGTCTTCTGATGAGTTTATCAGTCGGGAACCAGGTGAGGTTTTGGAGCGTTTGTTACTCTAGCTTTCTGTTTCTGTTTCTGTTTCTGTTTCTGTTTCTGTTTCTGTTTCTGTTTCTGTTTCTGTTTCTGTTTCTGTTTCTGTTTCTGTTTCTGTTTCTGTTTCTGTTTCTGTTTCTGTTTCTGTTTCTGTTTCTGTTTCTGTTTCTGTTTCTGTTTCTGTTTCTTTTGGTTAGAGATTCCTTTTTTTTCCTAAGATTTTTCTTAGAACATGAACAAATGATGCACAGTTTAGCTATGCTGGGGGACTTCGAACCACCTCCAGCTATATCAGTTTTAAATGTTGGAGCTGTGAACCGAATTTTCAGAAAATACTAAAAGACTTCACGTAATGAGAATTAGGACTTTTTTCAAATGCTTTCTAAAATTCTGCATTAAATTAGTGTAACTTTCGTTCAGGAGAAACAAGATCAAAGAGACTCCCCCTCCCTGGGACTCTGCTCCACTCAACATGGTGTAATGGAACACTTGTAACTGATAAGGTGATAAGAATCAGTTACCAAGACAACCGCATTGTTATCTCCTGTCCCAACGGTCCTTACCTTTACATCCACTACGCAGGACACATCAAGTTTGTGAGTCTAGTTGGGGGACCAGATAGTAAGTTTATGATGATTAGATACAAGGGTCCAGCAGCTTACTGCAAGGAAAATTACGCGTTCAGATGCTTGGAGTCGTGCCAGAAACCTTTTAAAGGGTCTGTAGAATGTGGAGAAGAGGGAGGGTTACAGATAATATACCCGAAGTGCGTGCTCCGTTACTGCACCATTGACACAGGAAGAGTGAAGAGTGAAGAGAAGGCGGTTCCCTGTGGTTCTAGAAGAATGTTGGGGTGTAAGAAAGGGTTTCTCCCGGAAGAGTCTCAAGATTTCAAATGTACTGAATCTGGTTGGGAGCCCCCACTAAAGTGTTGTCATATTAACGAGGTCAGAGTTTTCCTAATCTTATTTTAAATTTAAAGTGGGATTTTTTGTGCTGGATTGAGTCTCTTATGGAGAAACCAACTCTTAGTTTGACGTCGAAATTGAAAAATCCTTACCCGCAGGTGTGCAACAAGACCTCGGAAGAGTCAGCTAGATACGGAGCAGCACTCTGGCCCACAACCCACTTACAATCTACCTCTACAGTTCTCTGTCAGTACGGTGGGGAGGTCACCCGAGAGTGTAGCGTCACTAAAGGGTGGCTTGCAGCTGACTGGAGCCGGTGTGATTCAGTAGTGGCAGAGGCTATTCAGAGAGTGGTGAGTAATCAGTCAAGGAGTTCTGGAGATGTTTCTCAGGTCTTGGAGAAGTTGGTGAATCTGACGAGTAACTCTACAATCATCTCAATTCGCGATATCAAGAGGGTTGTTGACTACATGTTGTTACCATGGTTATACGTTACCATGGAACTGAATCAGGCACCGCCAGTTTTAGAAGCTCAACTAATCTCCAACATACTGTCAGTGAACTTGACAGTTGCAGAGGGAGCGAGTTTAGGAGTTATAAGCAGTCTTCTCAAGGACTTGGTGGGTATCACAAGGCGCTTCTGTGGGGATCAAAGTGTTAATTTCCCCCAGTTCTCCTTAACCTGCACTGGTTGGTTCAACACGACTGACAGGTATTCCATTCTTGAGATCAACAAAGATGCGGGTCTGCTTGCACCGTACAGACAGAAAGGGCAAGAATTAGGTTTCATGATAATGATCGGAAGACTTCAAGCTGAGTCAGCCTGGGATACCATCACAACTCCCTCAGACACTGCAGGAACACAATGTACAGTAGTGGATATAGACAGCGGGGTAGCTGACAAGGATAAATGTAGTAGAACTGGTCCGAGTAGCTGCGAGTGTTTTTACAACTATGAGAAAGGAATGATAATCATGATAACACAACTAAGCCGAGCTGAACGATCAACTTTCTTATCGCAGGCTTGTCATGTAGTAGCTATCGCGATACTAGCATTGGTTATTCTTGGGCTGCTCTGTAAAGGACCCTTGAGTGACCCTTGTAATGCTATCAACCTGAACATCGCTATCACTGCTCTAGTAGCTCAAACAGTTTTCTTGGTTCTCACACTGCCACTAAATACGGAGGGAAGCACCGTACCTGTGGACCCGGAGGGAAGCACCGTACCTGTGGATCCGGAGGGAAGCACCGTACCTGTGGATCCGGAGGAAGGACCTCAAGAAGGTGTGCAGTTAAAGAGCTGCCTTATGTTACATCTAGTGTCAGATTACATTCACCCCACTGTACTGGGATGGTCGCTGGCATCATGTCTTGTGTTTCTCTCCTCCCTAGATCCAGTTTACATTTACAAGAGTCAAGAACAAGGACACATGATGGTAGCCAAGATCTCAGTCGTCACCTACTTACTTCCACTCCTCTTTCCAGGATCTCACTGGATCTACTGCTCCGTTGTGACATCAACTACTTCTCTTGAGATGTGCTTCATGACCAACTCCTCATGTTGGAGCAGCACTGACATGAGTGATGTTACCATGGTTACTGAGATGAGTGACGTAAGGTCAGTGACGTCACTAATGAGTGACGCGAGACTTTACACACACTTCATACCAATAACTCTACTGCTTCTATCTCACGTTATCACCGTTCTGGCAATATGCCGGACTTGTTACAGGGCTAGAAACAGAGCGGGTTTCACAGAGAGTGTGAGAAGGTTGAAGTTCTTGCTCTTGTGCACTGTTCCGTTGTGCACGTGTTATGCAATATACTGCACGTGCGTTATAACGGGGCCAGTAGCAGCGCTTTATACTGCATTAGCTGTGTGTAGTGTGGTGTTTGCCGTGTTGTTTGGTATTGGAGTAATTGGCAGCATCAACTGCAACTATTGTTATGTTCAGTTTCAAGTCTACCCCGATGACAATACGGAGAGACCTAGGGTCAGCCGTACAGCTGTTTAATGACAGTATCTATCTTTAATCTATCCTTAATTGCAGTATCTATCTTTCATAAAAAAGTTGAGTGTTCTAGGATAGGCTTGTAACAACAGCCTAAAAATTGGCATAAATTTGTTGCCGATGAATCATTACTTTTCTTAATGACAGTTCTATATCAATCAGTAAATCGTATAAATATTTGGATTTACACCGTTCTACTTCTAGTTTAACTTTCAAAATTGATGTCAGAAACGTTTAAAATTACGATTCTCCAACGTTCTCAACTGAATTAAACTCACTGTAACTTTTATAAACATGTGTCCACAGCGGTTGTAGTTGGTTACCATTCAGCTCGTCATAATGGACAGACTCCGGCAGGAAGAAGTCAGTAAAGTTCCTTACAGCACTGTAGATGTCAGTGTTATCTGAGAGTTTGACGTATTCTCCACCATTTCCACAAGCAAACTCTATTATACTCTGCTCTTCGACCTTATACAGATCTGTAGGTAGGAGGGTTTGCTATTTGTTATAAAGTCTGTTGGACGACACTCCAACAAAACTTTACATTGATGCGAATACGAATTGGAATTCATCGACGGCAGCCAATATTATGCCCGCGAAATAATTGAAATCAGAACACATAGGGAGTGACATCATGGCACTCCCTCTTGGGGAGGGAGACATGTCATGTCTCCCTCCCCCAAGAGGGAGTGTACAAAGTTAAAGAGCGAAGATCAGTACAGGGAACAAACCGTTTCTCTCCATAGTGGTTGTAGTTCTAAACACGATGACTTTAACAGGATTACCAGTAGCACTGAACTCCTTGTTTCTGTCATCAAACACTTCCCTTATCTGACTCCCTACATCACCGTCCCCTATCACAACCAGGGTTCTGGAGCAGCCATTAGTCTTACCTGCTTTCTCAGACCTCTTCAACACCTGTGGTTATGTACATACAAATTAATAGTTTATCTACAATTTAAAACAAAACTCGATCTGTTTGTATTATTTGTTAAATTTTGACATCCATTCATAGTTTGGACACTACTCCCTGTAGGAACCTTATGGTGTGGATAGAGAAGTCACAAAATCAATTAGAAAAATGAGAATAGCTCTTCAATTTGTATTCCCCGCACTCTTTGATTAATAATATTCATCTGAACTCATTTAACTTCTAAACTTCTATCGTTACGTGGTCTACTCCCTATAATATTATGGTAATAACAAAACAGATCGACAGCACGAATAACTGCCAGCTACACTGATATACTGACAATTGATGAAACCTGAACATGGTGACGTTACGCCACTGCAAGTAGACTTTAGTAATGTTATAACTTGTTATAACCTACAATCAGTGCATTTTTACTTTTAGACGCTGATCCTGAGTCACCACATCACCAACCTTCATGATATAAGATAAACGGTTTTGATAGGCTAACGATTGCTACATAACGGTTTATAATCAATTTATGACAACAAGCAATACAAACATCATTATATGTTAAATTAACATTGTTAATAGTAATAGAATTATAACGCAAAGTATCAAAAAATATTAAGCAAAAAGATATTGAGAATCTTTTAAAAATACAGCGAGCTCAGAATTATGAGGGCCGTAAAATTGATTTAATAATTCTCTAGTCTCATCAAGCATTTCGCCAACTTCTTCTTTAGTATCTCCATTTTCATTTAATGTTTCAGATGTCTCTATTCGAAGCTGCCATTCTTCTGTATTTGGTTTGTAAATGCCTATATGATCGAATATTTTAGTCAGAGTGTTTATTGGATTTGAATGATATTCATTTATGGTTAAAACTAGAAAATTATCCCCAAATACTTCTAAAAAGTCTCTGATATAGCAAATATAAACACCAAGAGCAACCCGCAGTCTGAGACTATATCCTGAAGAGTAACAACAATTTCTGAGTGAATTACTCTCAAGACATCTATTAAATTTTGTAGTTTCTCTGCGAACATCCATGTGAAATGTCTGAGGACTTCGAACCTCGTTTCTCATTTTTGATCCTTTCCAGAAATAGATGTACTCTGAATATAGTCTATCAGTAGGATTTCTAAGTATGGCCAATATTTTAGCATATGGTGTAACAGCATGGATCAAGTCTGCATTAGAGTACGGAGGTTCGTCTAAGCCAGGATACCTAGTTTCCCACCCACCTAAATCCCACAGCAGAGAAGGAGTTCCATCAACTATTCTCCTATCTTTGTAACTCTTCACTCTCTCCGCCCCACTCCCGTTTAGAAACTCACTGAAGGGTGTTTTAGGAGGCGGAACCCTCGGGTTTAAGAGGAAGTTCTTAGGTCGGCAAATGCGTCCTCTTGTCCAGTAGTGGTACTCTTTCTCAGTACGTCTTGCATTTACTTTTATATCAAGTAGATGATGAGACTGTGAGGTCAGCTCAGGGTGCCACATCAACTTATCAAAGAGGTCCGTGGTGCCACATTTTGGCATTCCTGCTAGGTAAACAGAAGCTAAACATTGAAATATGTTCTGCATATCATACCAGCAAAAACTCTTATAATCAGGTAGATATTTTTTTGGTAAAAGGTCAAAAACATCCTTCGACTCTTTGAATAAAACATCCAAACGCTTTTGTAACGCTTGATAAGCTGTATTTGCTTGGGTGGGTTTAGTGGTTTGATGAGAAGTTCCGTTAACTTCTGTGAGTATCGCTGCATTATCTTCTTTCTTTAACTCCTGTTCTATTACGTTCAGATGGTCTGAAATTTCCTCAGACTCTTCATAAAGAACATTCAAGTCTTTTTGGGGGGCAGGATTTTGATCAACTGTTTTTAAAGTATTATCATCTTCCACCGTCAGATATGCTCGGCTAGAGGCGGTATCGTGTATTGTCGGTTGAGAAGTAACAGACAGAGAAGCTGCGGGGCTAGCCTCATGGTCTGAAATCTTCATGTTGTCCTGAGTAAAGTTTTCACATCAGTTTCCTCCAGATCACTACTTCTATCATTAGGGGTGTGTGACATTATCGCATTGACTGATGAAGTGAAGTCCCAGGGACTCCTTGAACTCTCTGTAGATAAAACCAGGTCATTTGAAGCGAGGGCTCTGTTTTGTGGTGGAAATGGGTCTCTGGAGAAGGTATTTTCATCAACTTCAATATTGTAAATTTGTACTATCACTATCACCACAGCAACCAGAACAACTAGTTTTATCTGAAAATAAAGCAATGGTAATACTTGTAGTAAGCGTAACACAAACGTATAAGTGTCTTAATCGGTTGATTAAATTTTAGGTATAAATTCGGGTTAAAAGACAATCAAACAATACCACATTTGGTACATACAAATCCGAAATTCTCCCTTCCACTATTGTAAAGAATTAAAAGTAAACCTACACGTAGCTAATGGAGGATATACAGATAGCATTCACCAAAATATATGGTATCGATCATTCGCATTTTCAACCGACTTTTCAACTAATTATTCAACTAACCGACGAAGAATACGAAACATCGAATCAAAAAGCAACATTACTCATTTTACTGAGTAATGTTCAGTTCAAATCTTAAGTTTAACAGTTTGAAAAAAGACTTTTCAGCATAAAAGTAACTGAAACACTAACTTACAGTACGTCTTGAGTGACGCCTCATCAGCCTACAGGTCACACCAAACTGTACGTCAGCCTAGCAGGTCACACCAAACTGTACGGAAACTGCTAAACTGCAGGTCACACCGAACTGTACGGAAACTGCTAAACTACAAAGAAATGCCCTATCGTACAAGATGAGATCATGTAATATTAGGGGTGTAACATAATCCAATCAGATCACAGATCGACTGTTTCTGTTTCATTCGATTAATTAATTAATTTATATTTATAGATCTTAACTTATAGTTGGACCATTGCAGAAATCACCTGTCTATGTAATACACTCTATATTGCTTGAAAGACCTTTCTCGATACACAGATTAACAAATTCGATACGTAATCAGTGAGATACGTAATCAGTGAGAAGCGACCATAACACCACTAGTAACACTGTAGAGTGTAGAGGGTTCTAGAAACAGTACCTTTTAAGTGATACTTTTACGGCTCCTTACAGACTCTTCTTAGAGCTCTCATCAAAAATATGAGCCTTTATAACACATCTCAAGATAACGATGTATCTAAGTAATAGATAGGAGTAAATAGAATTTACAAGACGTTGCTATGGCGGGAAAACAAAGCGTAATTTAAAAAACAGGATACGATTATTTCGACACCCGTAGAAGATGCAAACAAACTAGTTCCAACTACAAACGAAACAGATTTTACGTGGACAAAAAGGAAGAGCTAACCAGTATTGGGGGATCTACATTGTACTTCCTATTGAACGGATATGATACGTATCAAGTTATCAAGTTAATATTTTCAACGTGCGTGTTAATGATTTGTAGGATTTTTTACGTTAACAAATGAAACACAGTTTTGCTATGCAGGGGGACTACGAAATATCATTAACTACACTTATGACTTATGCAACTAAATAGTACCGAGTTCAGCAACTATAGTAATACAGACGATGCTATATGGGTTCAAATACCCCTTCAATAAGAATATTACCTTGCCTTGATGCTGTACTGATCATTTTATATATGTTATATTATTATTGAATCGTTAAGTAATGATTAAGGAGGTAGCAGAGTAAAGTGATGTGAAGCTAGGCTAGGAAGAGATTTCTTCATAGATTCACGGTTCAATACTCGATACGTGACAAAATGTATTGCGGTGTATACAACACTATTATATTATATTAGGACGCAGTGAAACTATCGGACTACGATGTATGGCCGGGACTTACCACCCCATGGCAACATTGTATTTATATGGATGCCTCAGTTCCAAATAGTAATCTAATATTCGCTGGCTTAACCCGGTAATTTAAACAGGGCTATAACTTGATAAATATTGTAAGGGACGGAGGGAACTGGGAAGTATAGAAGGATTAAAGGATTGAAGGAGGGACGGAGAGACAGATGGACGGATGACGGAGGGACGGACGGTGGGACTAGAAACCGACCAGTCTGGGGTTTTGGCTTCCGGGCCGGAAATAGCCCGATATCAGTTTATTTTCCGGTTTGCCGGGTCTTGCAGGACGGAACCGGGTGTTTGAAATTGGAGGGCTGCCGGAAATATCGAATCATTCCCTTTTGAACAGGTTCGTAATCAGCTTGACGAGACAAAGCTTTTAGTACAAATTTATAATATTTGAAGAATCATTATCCTTAATAATGTTTTTGTCCACCTTTTTGGAAAAGTTCCGCCATAGTTCCTACTGTCTGGCTTGTCCCCGGATACCGTATTTATTTAATCTCTAAGAAGAGGACATCTAAGAGCAATGACAACCAAAGCTAGTGAGAATCCCCAACTTAAAGTTTTGAGTAAAAAGTTCACGCTCCAAGTGCTAGTTGAGCACTAGTTCTGAAAAGATCGAACCCATAACAGAATAATGATACGTGACCTGAGGTAATGTACACACTACATTATATTCAGTTTTATATGAAGTGTTCTTGGAATTGAGGGACGGACAAGTGGACTGAATGACCGACAGAAGGAGCAAGATTAGTTTAATTAGCCGATTAAAAACACTTTTAAAAGTAAAAAATAGCGATCAAATAAAAAGATATTTGGAATCCTTTAGAATTGTTGCAAGCTCAGAATTGTAAGGCTCATAGAACCCATTCAATAACTCTTTAGTTTCATCAAGCATTTCACCAACGCCTTTTTTTACATCGCTATTCACGTTATAGATTTTAGAATTCTTAATGAAATTCCGCAACTCATCTACATTTGGTTTAGAAACACCAATACGATGAAAAATGTTATCTAAAGTCTCTACCGGATACGAATGGTATTCATTCATTGTTTCAACAATTAGATTATTCCCAAACACTTCTAAAAAATCTCTGATATAACAAACATAAACTCCAAGAGCAATCCTCAATCTGAGACTATGATTTGATGAATAACAACAGTGTCTCAGTGATTTACTCCCAAGACATTTATTGAATCTTTTAACTTCTAGTTTTACAGTAGTGTGGAATGTTTGCGGAGAACGCTCCTCACTCTTCATCCTCCCTCCCTTCCAGAAGTACAGATACTCTGAATACAGTCTTTCAGTAGGATTTCTAAGTATGGCCAATATTTTAGCATCTGGTGTAACAGCATGGATCAAGTCTGCATTAGAGTACGGAGGTTCGTCTAAGCCAGGATACCTAGTTTCCCACCCTCCCAAATCCCACAGCAGAGAAGGAGTTCCATCTGCTATCTTTACTTCTTTGTTATTCTTCACTTTCTCTGCCCCAGTACCGAGTAGAAACTCGCTGAATAGTGTTTTAGGAGGCGGAAACCTCGGGTTTGCAATAAAGCTAACTGGTCGCCCTACACGTCTTCTCGTCCAATAGAAAGTCTCCTTTTCAGGGCCACCATCAGTACGATGAGATTGTGTAGTCAGTTCTGGGTGCCACATTAACTTCTGGAAGAGGTCCGTGGTGCCACATTTTGGCATTCCCGCTAAATAAACAGAAGCTAGACATTGAAATACGTCCTGGCTATCATACCAACAAAAACTTTTATAATCAGGGAGATATTTATATGGTAAAAGATCAAAAATGTCCTTCGACTCCTCGAATAAAACATCCAAACGCTTTTGTAACGCTTGATATGCTGGTGAGTTATGAAGACGATCACTTTGGTCATTATACTCTGATAGCTTTATATTTTCCAGATAGGGTTCTGCAGTAGTGGCAAGTTCTGTTTCTGTTTCTGTTTCTTTAGTTCGGTGTTCATGTTCGGAGGTAGAAAGTCGTTTTTCTTGGGTGGATTTAGTGGTTTGATGAGAAGTTCCATTAACTTCTGTGAGTATCCCTGCATTATCTTCTTTCTTTAACTCCCGCTCTACTACGTTCAGAAGGTCTGGGTTTTCAGCTGTTTTCTCTTGCTTTATGTCTTTTAGTGCCTTTTCAGGTTTGTTCCGGCTCAACTGTTGAGTAGTTACAACATAATATGAGGTGGTTAGACTGAAATACCACAGATCAGGGTCAGTCGGATCTTCATCTTCGTTTGAATCCTCTGAAGCTGTGAGCGGGTCAGTGAGTGATTGTAGTTGTCGATGTCTCACGTGATGCCCAAATAAGGTGATGTAGTAACAAACCCCGAGTGTTGCTGCCACCAAAAGCAACATTTTTATCTGAAAGATTATTTTAGAGTGAAAATGAACAAATCGCGAACAAAGCTATAACGTAAATTAAAACAGTTTGGTATCAAGTCCATCGTGAAACATGATAGCTTTAGACAATGAATTAAAACGAAAAACAAAAAATGAACATTTCTATCATATGAAATTGCCAGTATGCTGTTCTAGTAATTCAATTTTGCCATGACTGAAATTATTATTTCAACGCTGGTCAACAACTTACAATGGACTGTAATTTCCTTCTCATCATAGTCTGGATAATGTCAAAGTTAAAACATCCTGATTCCTGCAATAATAAAACACTGGATGACACGGAGAAATCAGTTGAAAATATGAACTCTTAAAGTATTCAAAATGAGAGCAAATAATGAAAATAAGGCAAGAAACAGCGCAAAACGAAACCAGCGATCACTCATTATTGGTTGTAATTTATACAGTGGACAGGTGATGACTGATGTCTACATGTACACCACTCTACATTCTATAATGTACGTGAGACAGCAGTCATCACCTTGCCTTATTTTCATTATTTGCGGCAGTCTTACATTTACAAATAACATCACCATCAAACATCTCTAACTTGAAAGTAGCTAGCGATGATCATCAAGTAATCGATAATGGTCGAATGTAATGAAAAATATTAATGACATATTATGTAAAGAATATGATTTTAATACTTTCAACACTACTTATTGAAAATCTTTTCAAAATAGTACATACATCAATGTAATTGCATGAAAATAACACGGTCAAAAAGTGATTTCTATGTACTATAATGACGGGAAACCAGAACGTAGTTCGTGAAAAAATTATACCTACAAAATATGGTCCCTCACAAAACATTTCATACAATCAACACATATAAATGTAAGATATATAGTAATAGAGATGATTGTGCAATAATAAAATACAGCGTGCATAAAATATCATAATGTTAATAATTTGTTAACTTTTTAATGAAATAGATTATATCATACAATACTTTTAAAACCCAACCCACAACCCAACCCACCCCTAACCCCTTAAATAGTTTGGATCGGTTATTTTAAATTAGAGAATTGGCATTGGGAGAAATGAGATGCATCTAATCATTATCAGACAGGTAGAATTCAGCTATATAACAAATAATTTGAGGAAACGATGTGACAGAGTCGATATATTTTAATGTTGCCATGAGGTGGCAAGTCACCATATATCGCGGTCCGGTAGTTTCATTGCGTCTTGAAAAAAAAAAATATATGAAAGACTTATGGAACTGTCTAGACCTAAACACGGTACACTCTATTCTCCTTCCAGTTCTTACCTTCCAGACTCCAGTTCCTAGATCACGGTATTCTCCCCTTCAGTTCCTAGATACTGTATAGTGTAATAGTGTATTCCCTTTGATCAACAGCTCAACACCACAGTAATGTATATCTACAAACAGATTATTGAATATTTGTAAAGTCACGGTACAGGTATGAATATATAACTGCACACTTCCGTGTTTTGGTGACCCCTTCAATATACATAATATGTCCCACTAATGACTAAAGGAGTTTATCGGGATGTTGGGCACCAGGATAGAAGCCACACTTCACCCACACTTCACCCACACTTCACCCACTTACCCTAACACCAGTCACCTGCACACTTCTAACACACCCGCACTAGTAAGATGTGTTATTGGACACGTTGTGGAAATTTACGTGGCAGTATTAATTGTGTACCCTGTATTATGTAACGCTAGTGGACCCTGCTGTATTACAAACCGGATTAGATTTAACTGTTTCTGTTGATCACCAACATGGGACAACCGCCAATAGTGTGAAATCTAACTAATTTCTTTTTTATTTGATTGAATTTCGGATCTGATTTTTACCGCTGATCTTTCATGATCTACATTGTAATATTAAGAATTAATTCGCGAGTTAAGTAAATCTCAAAAACGTGCCAGATATTGTAAGGATTATCGTTTTTCGTATATGCCACCTGACGCACCTTATAATGGGAATGCCGCATGAATGAATTTTAGGAAGAAGAACAAGTCCCCGGGAGCGAGGTGTTTTTTTAAACGTGTTTTTACGTTCGTATTTTCTGAACAATTTGCCAATCATGCGCCCGTTGTTTCAAGTTTTCTATTCTGCGTGAATTTGGGTTGCCGTTTATTAATAGTTGATATTAACGTAAAGATTTTATTTGTACGCTTACTTGCAATATCTGAAAGCGACATCTGGAAATTCTTATCTGTCGGTTTAAATCTTCTATCAAGGGAACCTTAACCAATACCTTGTACAGACGTATTGGTATCTGTACACTGTACACTGTACACTGTACCTACACTGTACACTGAACACTGTACACTGTCTCTGAATCGTAATGTTATTAGTTAATTGGGTCCCTATATAAATAAAGCTCTTGTTTTCCTGTAACTCTACCTCATACTTCATAAATTGCATTTTTGTGTCTGTCTTTTCTTTTTTGTGACCGTCCACTGTAAACTGTTCACTGTACACTGTCCAGTGCACACATTATGTTCCTGCCCTATTTTTTACATTGACCCTTTTGTAAAAAGGTTATAGTGAAAGGTTACGAATAATATTATTATTATATCGAGTCCATAACCCAAGGTTCTAGGAACGCTTCAACTTTATCAAAACTGATGAAAAGGAAGGTCAAGTCCATTGTGAGTTAATTTTCAACCCTTAATGATTTCTTAGCTGCTTTTTTAAATTTAAGGGATGCTATAACAACACCATCGTCTAAAGTCTCCAAGAAATCTAACATCTATTTTGACATCTATTTGATATTTTCATTTCTGATTGATTTTTTTCAGGTTAAGATACTGGTTTTGGTAGCAGCAACATTTGCAGTTGTAGAATACGGACGAGGACAGCTCGAACTGCTCAATATCTCATTTACTGAAGATGTAAAGCCAACTGATGTAAAGCCAGCTGATAATCAACAGTGGTTTTTTACTACTTCTGATACATATATCACCAAACAATCTTTGGATCAGTCTGCTCCAAAATCAGAGGAGAAACAAAACAGAATTGACGAAGGGAAACCAGTTGAGCACACTAAACAGTCGGATAACTCACCTGATATAAACGAATATGAGGTACCATCTCAACACACCTCCGAACTCACTCAAACACTAAGGCAAGTCACTTCTGGACACAAGATAAGGAAGACTTTACATGCTACTACTGCAGAACCCTATCTGGAGAATAAAAAGTTATCAGAGTATAATGACCAAAGTGATGGTCTTCATAACTCACCAGCATATCAAGCGTTACAAAAGCGTTTGGATGTTTTATTCGAGGAGTCGAAGGACATTTTTGATCTTTTACCATATAAATATCTCCCTGATTATAAGAGTTTTTGTTGGTATGATAGCCAGGACGTATTTCAATGTCTAGCTTCTGTTTATTTAGCGGGAATGCCAAAATGTGGCACCACAGACCTCTTCCAGAAGTTAATGTGGCACCCAGAACTGACTACACAATCTCATCATACTGACGGTGGCTCTGAAAAGGAGACCGTCTATTGGACGAGAAAACGTGTAGGGCGACCAGGTAGTTTCATGGCAAACCCGAGGGTTCCGCCTCCTAAACAACCCTTCAGCGAGTTTCTACACGGCACTGGGGCGGAGAGAGTGAAGAGTTACAAAGATAGGAGAATAGTTGATGGAACTCCTTCTCTCCTGTGGGATTTGGGAGGGTGGGAAACTAGGTATCCTGGCTTAGACGAACCTCCGTACTCTAATGCAGACTTGATCCATGCTGTTACACCAGATGCTAAAATATTGGCCATACTTAGAAATCCTACTGATAGACTATATTCAGAGTACCTCTATTTCTGGAAAGGATCAAAAATGAGAAACGAGGTTCGAAGCCCTCAGACATTTCACATGGATGTTCGCAGAGAAACTAGAAAATTTAATAGATGTCTTGAGAGTAATTCACTCAGAAATTGTTGTTACTCTTCAGGATATAGTCTCAGACTGCGGGTTGCTCTTGGTGTTTATATTTGCTACATCAGAGACTTTTTAGAAGTGTTTGGGGATAATTTTCTAGTTGTTACAATGGAAGAATATCATTTGTATCCAACAGAAACACTTAATAACATTTTTTATCATATAGGAGTTTCAGAACCTAAATTAGAAGATTTGCATAGTTTTTTAGAGTCTTCTAAAACTTATAATGTGAATAGCAATGTTAAGGAAGAAGTTGGTGATATGCTCCCCGAAACCAAAGATTTGTTGGATACGTTTTACGCCCCTTATAACTTTGCTCTTGCCGAGCTTCTGGCTGATTCAAGGCTTCTCTTCCGTAATTAAAGCTAATTAACCTTCTCTTGGTTGGAAAGCAATCGATTTCTCGCTGATTGTGCATGATTTAGGTAAACAAAATATTTTGTATCTCTACTATCTCGTATTATTTAGCTTATGACAAGTAAAGAGATATTTGATATTTAGCTATTTGTTTTAACTTTTAGGGAAAAATTAAACTTGAGCGTTGCGGTTGTTTTTAACTATCCTTTTTTTAGAACTTTTATTTGATAATGGTTGGAATTATTGATATTTATTCCGAATCGCATACAAATCTTGTGACTTATTTTTACTAATGCAGATTTAACTTGACTTGTGATAATTTATTAGAACACACAACAAAGGTTGACACAGCTGTAAAATAGGACATTGATAAGTCTGTCTCGCGAGAATTGGCCGATATGTTATTAAAACGAATGACTGAATGGCAGCTCTTTCATCACATGGGTGGTCGTTGGTCATCCGTCAGGCAGACAGACAGAAAGAAACTTTCGAATTATAAGTAAAATTTTGATTTAAACTAAAATTAAAATGTGAGTAAATGTTAACCAACTTAACACAAAATACATTTTAGTTGTATTGAGTGCACCAATAGAATTAACAAGTATGGATTAAAATCCTCATCTTTCCTCATTAAAAAGGAGCTGTCTATCTAGCAATAACAATGATAACAGTCATACTAATATAGTATCAAACGAATCTTTGTTCCACAAGGATCAATTATAAAAATGTTTGCGGAGTTTTTTCGAATCGTTTTTATAAAAATATATGTACATACGAGCGTCGAGAATGAACTAAAATCGGCGCGAATAACGAAATGGTCTACTTGATGTATCAAGCTATCGTGTACTGTAGACCCTGTCTCACGTTGTGACCTCAACTATTTGCCACGTCTGGAAAATATCCTGCTTAAATTTAAAATAGAGAACGGAGACGCAAAAACGTAAACAGAAAATATTAATATAGACATCTTTGTTTTATTTGAATGCAGGAGAATTTCCATGTTATTGTCTACCACCATTTTGTGTCCTTCTTTTAAACGTTTATCGTGAGCTTAGGTAGCTTAGGTAACACAGAGGTTCTCTAGGAACTAATGTTATTAGTGAAGGAAGTCATTTTCTATCCCAAATGTTGCAGGTATAGCAATCAACCTTGACTAAATGGTCGCCTTTCATCCATGAAGTGCGCGCGTTCGTGTCTTTGACGTCATTCGTGGGGACACTGGTGGTCAACAGCCAACCGCAAGAAGATATTAACCAATTGGTCACAATAATTGGTATTAACGCCAACTAAACCTAGTAATTGGTCACTATAATTATATTTACAACCACTAAACCCAGTAATTTATACCCCTACAAGGATAGTTCATACCTTGAAAGCTAGGTCTATTGCCGCAGTAAAGTTAGCTCTTCCGTATATTTGCACTTTATCTAGGGACTGTTTCAAGTTATCTTTTATTTCTTTTGTTCCTACAAGAAAATGAATGTATTAGAAATATATTATACAACAAATAGTCGCAAAATCATGATGAAACCACATTTTAAATTGATTTTATAGTATTATATTTATACTTATAGGAGCTAATTATCCAGTAATTTTAGCAATTTTTATTACGTACCTTTTTCGAGGGTTGAATTAAAACAATCAGAAGGCATGAAGGGGTCCTTGTTAACCGCAATTATGTTAAGGAAGTCGTACGATGGTAAGTGGTTAAAGAGAACTTTAACCAGATTCTGAAACAAAATACTTTTACTTATAAAGTATCATAGAACGGCTACTATACTTTTCTTGGATTATTTTGATCGTTATAGTTATACGTTCGTCAATTCGAGAATTACAATTCATTCAAAGCAGGAGGATTAGGAATGATACTTACTTTAGGTTCACAAAGTCCTGTCCCAAAACCTCCTGCCCCAGAGTCTCCTGCCCAAGGACCTTATCTCTAATTCCTACCCTATTCCTAACCCAAACCCCGAAGCTAAGTGTAACCCCTACCATAACCCTATACAACTGGGACTCGAGGCTCTGAAATGCAATTATCGGTAAGAGCACGACATAACCGTGGTTACCGTGGTACATACAGGGTGGGCCAAAAGTCAGTGTGCAAACGTTGGGTCTTATACCTCCGCCGTGTTTTATATTTGAGAGCTGTTGCTTTGCAGATGGCATACTGTACTTACTGGTTCGAGGATTCCGTCGTCAAAATTTGAAAATTCGAATATTTTAGACCACGCCCATTCAATATTAAAACACCTATATTGTTTTCTCTGAACATGCTGAACGCCTACATTTTTCAGAGACGGTAGATTATTAAATGTTGCATATGATCTGAAAACATGAGGCAAAACGTACATTACTGGAGCTGGACGATGGTAACAATAGTAACGATGGTAACGATGGTAACGATGGTAACGATGGTAACGATGGTAACCCTTACTTTTGCTATGCTCTGCGCAATACCATCCATGCTTCCGGAAAAGTCGACCAAGAAAAGAACATCTTTCGGCGGTGATATTGCTTCTATGTACCTGTTGGGAGGATATTATTAATTGGTCATTGAACAAAAATTGAGAAAAACAGTGAAATTTGGGTCGCAGAAAAATGCCCCATTTTCAAAAATGAAATTTTACAGTTTTGACTGAATTTCTCATCCGTAACCAATCAATCAGTTAAAAATGGATGGCATATGAAATGATTCAGGTGCTGGAAGTTTGATTTATGCCAGAGGAAGCTCACTCCAGAAAGCTTAACAAAACGAAAATTCATATTTTCCAATTTCTATCCCATGAAAATCCCAAATGAAAATTTCTAAACACAAATTTGACAGATTTGATGATATTTTTGCCCAGGAACCAATTAGTCAGTTAATTGATGGTGGTATGAAACCAAATTGAGGTACTAGGAGTCAAAATTCCGAATAAAATTGTAAAATCATATTGTCCCAATTTGGGACAATATGATTTTACAATTTTATTCCTGATATTTTTGCCCAGGAACCAATTAGTCAGTTAATTGATGATGGTATGAAACCAAATTGAGGTACTGGGAGTCAAAATTCCGAATAAAATTGTAAAATCATATTGTCCCCATCTCTGTCCCATTTTCAGTTTTTGAAGATGAAATTTCCAGGACCCAAATTTTACAGTTTTTATTGCTTTTTTCACCCGCAACCCATAAGTAAGTCAACTATAGATGCCAAATGACACGATCGAGGTGCTGAAATTTTGATTTCGGTCGGAGGAAGCCCACAGCAGAAAGCCTAACAAAACGAAAAGTTGTATTTTCAAAATCCTGTCCCATTTTCAAATATGAAATTTTCTGAACACAAATTTGACAGATTGGATGATATTTTTGCCCAGGAACCAATTAGTCAGTTAATAGATGATGGTATGAAACCAAATTGAGGTACTAGGAGTCAAAATTCCGAATAAAATTGTAAAATCATATTGTCCCAATCTCTGTCCCATTTTCAGTTTTTGAAGATGAAATTTCCAGGACCCAAATTTTACAGTTTTTACTGCTTTTTTCACCCGCAACCCATTAGTAAGTCAACTATAGATGCCAAATGACACGATCGAGGTGCTGAAATTTTGATTTCGGTCGGAGGAAGCCCACAGCAGAAAGCCTAACAAAACGAAAAGTTGTATTTTCAAAATCCTGTCCCATTTTCAAATATGAAATTTTCTGAACACAAATTTGACAGATTGGATGATATTTTTGCCCAGGAACCAATTAGTCAGTTAATTGATGATGGTATGAAACCAAATTGAGGTACTGGGAGTCAAAATTCCGAATAAAATTGTAAAATCATATTGTCCCAATCTCTGTCCCATTTTCAGTTTTTGAAGATGAAATTTCCAGGACCCAAATTTTACAGTTTTTACTGCTTTTTTCACCCGCAACCCATTAGTAAGTCAACTATAGATGCCAAATGACTCTATTGAGGTGCTGAAATTTTGATTTCGGTCGGAGGAAGCCCACAGCAGAAAGCCTAACAAAACGAAAAGTTGTATTTTCAAAATCCTGTCCCATTTTCAAATATGAAATTTTCTGAACACAAATTTGACAGATTGGATGATATTTTTGCCCAGGAACCAATTAGTCAGTTAATTGATGATGGTATGAAACCAAATTGAGGTACTGGGAGTCAAAATTCCGAATAAAATTGTAAAATCATATTGTCCCAATCTCTGTCCCATTTTCAGTTTTTGAAGATGAAATTTCCAGGACCCAAATTTTACAGTTTTTACTGCTTTTTTCACATGCAACCCATTAGTAAGTCAACTTTAGATGCCAAATGACACGATCGAGGTGCTGAAATTTTGATTTCGGTCGGAGAAAGCCCACAGCAGAAAGCCTAACAAAACGAAAAGTTGTATTTTCAAAATCCTGTCCCATTTTCAAATATGAAATTTTCTGAACACAAATTTGACAGATTGGATGATATTTTTGCCCAGGAACCAATTAGTCAGTTAATTGATGATGGTATGAAACCAAATTGAGGTACTGGGAGTCAAAATTCCGAATACAATTGTAAAATCATATTGTCCCAATCTCTGTCCCATTTTCAGTTTTTGAAGATGAAATTTCCAGGACCCAAATTTTACAGTTTTGACTGCTTTTTTCACCCGCAACCCATTAGTAAGTCAACTATAGATGCCAAATGACACGATCGAAGTGCTGAAATTTTGATTTCGGTCGGAGGAAGCCCACAGCAGAAAGCCTAACAAAACGAAAAGTTGTATTTTCAAAATCCTGTCCCATTTTCAAATATGAAATTTTCTGAACACAAATTTGAAATGAAATGAAAATGAAATGAAATAATGTGCTTGTATACCGCCCATATGGTTAGCAACTGACACAAGTGCCAGGTACTAACCATGTCAGAGCGGTTCTAAAGGGTGAGGTGAAAATATCCAGCAACAAACAACTAAATCATCTCAAAAACAAATCTATTTAGGAAAATTAAAACTTTAAATATATCATATAGTAATCATAGGAAGATTTATTGATATATACCACACTACGATTAACAATAAACCACCAGAAAACTCTTCAAAAATAACATAATATACTTATAGGAATCAAAAGAAGAATTATTAATATGTTAATACACATGGCACTAAGAAATAAAGATACACCCTACAACAAATCATAAGAACAAAGAAAAAACAGCACTAATCACATACGGTCATATAAATAATGTTTAAGGGTACCTTTGAAACTGTCTACGTTGCGTAGTGATCGTATCTCCCAGGGAAGTGAGTTCCAAGCAGTTGGTGCGTAGTTGGTGAATCGACGTTGATCAATCTTACTATTTGTAGTTTTAGGAGTCTTTAGTCTGTAACAATCTCCTTCTACTTTTGATCTTGTACTAGCTATTGTCAATGGGTTTTCAATCACTACAAGATTCTGTATGTAGGCCGGTGCAATCCCATGCACAGCTTTATAAGTTAACAGGCAGACTTTAAAGAAAATCCTTTGGTCAAGAGGAAGGATATGTGCTCTCTTGTAGTAGGGAAGTAGGTCCTCTGATCGGTCTTTGATGTTGTAGATGAACCGTATGGCACCATTGAGGGTTGATCTTAGCTTGTTTAGTCGTGTCTTTGGTAGGTTCATGTAAAGAGAATTACAGTAGTCGAGCTTTGATATTACAAGCTGTGTTACCATCATGAGTTTCACTCCTTCATCCAGATAGCGCCCAATCGTCCTTAGATTCATCATTGTCCAGCTGCATTTCTGTTTGACACTATTAATTTGTCTTTCCATGGTAAGAGACTTATCAAACTTTACCCCAAGACTCTTCCAGCTGTCACCTTTACATTCAGTTGGAGTGATAGTTGTGTTTCCGAACTGAATCGTCACCTCCATTTTGCAGTCTTTAAGAACTTTTGATTTGCCTAGGACAAGTAGTTCTGTCTTCGACTCATTGAGTTTCATAAAGTTTCCAACCATCCAATGCTTGATTTCCGAGAGACATCTATTTATCCGATCTTTGACATCTGCAAGTTCGCTTGGGAAGCTTGGATGAAAAGATATGTATAACTGAGAGTCATCCGCATATAGCTGGATGTCTAGTCCAAATTTGGCAGCAATATTCTGAAGGTCTTTAATGTAGAGTATAAACAAGATGGGCCCTAGTAGGGATCCCTGAGGGACTCCAAAGAGGAGTTCAAGAAGAGACGAGATAGTATCGCCAATCTTTACACAGAAATATCTGCTCTCAAGGTATGATCTCATCCATTGAAGGGCTTTCCCAGTTACACCATAATGCTTGAAAAGTTTCTCAAGGAGGATTTCGTGATCAATAGTGTCGAAAGCTGCACTGAGATCCAGGAGTACCACAGCCACGATGTTACCTGCTTGAATCTCCTTGTTTATGTCGTCAGTCATCCTGACAAGAAGGGTCTCACAGCTGTGCTGTGGGCGGTATCCAGACTGGACAGGGCAGTGAAGGTTGTTTGTGTCCAGATGGTCATTCAACTGGTTCAGTACAATTCTTTCCAGGAGCTTGGATATAGCAGAAAGGTTCGATACTGGTCTATAGTTACTTAAACTGTCAACATCAGCGTTCTCTTTCTTAAGGGTTGGCTTAATAACCGCTTTCTTCATTTGAGAAGGAAATGATCCTGTCTTAGTAGACGTGTTTAGGATGTGCAGGAGTACAGGTGTTAGCTCATCCACACAGCTCTTCAGTAGGAATGAAGGAATGGGATCCAGACAGCAGAACTTGTTACTCATCATTTTAACCAATTTTCTGAGGTCTTCAGCACTGATAGGGGAAAACGTGTCAAGAGTTGAAACATAATCAGGTTCACCTGAAGGAGCAAGTGTTTCCTCCGGGACATTTTTGGATGCATCCAATTCAATGTCTTTCCGTATTTTGTTAACTTTCTCAGCAAAGAAGTCTTTGAAATCCTCTGACAGTTTTCCAGGGTCTTGATGTTTGGGGAGATCCTGTGTCTCGTTACCAAGAAGTCTGTTAAGCTTCTTGTAAAGGGCCTTTGAGTCTCCTGCTGATGCTCGAAGCGACTCTTTGTTATAAGAACATCTCTTCACAAACTCTAAACTAACAAATCTATCTCTGAGATCTATGTAGTCTTTCCTGGTACCCTTTCCTTTGCGCCATGCACGTTCGGCTGCTCTCCTCTTTTGACGTAGCAAACTAAGGTCTAAGTCAAGCCACGGCATGGGTTTCTTCCGAAATTTCTTCTTTATAACAGGACAGTGCTTATCCATGAGTTGAGTAAGGACAGAGTTATACAGTGAAGTCGCTTCTTCAGCAGTTAAAATTGGATCAATAGTTGACAGGTTGGAATTCCTTAGATCATCCTTAAAAATTTCAATGTCTATGGATTTGAAATTTCTGTAGCTCAGAAATTTGCCATTATCATTTTTACTAAGTCGAGTGTCAACATCGAAGAGTACTAGAAAATGGTCTGAGGAAGTTCTTGACTGAACAATGTTAAAATTGCTGATCTTGTTCTCAAGAGACTGGGTAGAGATCACTAGGTCCAGGGTACCGCCCTGATTATGAGTTGGGACTATTGGAACATGTTGTCGGAGGTTGTACTGAGCTAGCAAGTCCAGAAACTTCTTTGGATAGTGTTCATCGGGTCTTTCAACATGAAAATTGAAATCCCCAGTCAAGAGAGGGTTTCCTGGCTTTGCACACAGTATTTTAAGGTATTCTTCAAACTCCTTTAGGAAGTCACATTCTGTGTACCTTGCTTTCTTTGTGTAGGGGGGTCGGTAGATGTTTACTAGTCTCAGCAACTCTGATTCAGCACTCAGAAGTGATTCCATCACTTGAAATGACTTAAACTTGGTCACTTTGGTATTAGGCTTCAGTTCAATCGAACTTCTGTAAACCATTGCTATACCACCTCCACTGCGGTGTTTTCTAGGATCAGAAAGAATGCTCCAGCCACTATCTTTTATCTCAGTGAGTTTTGCTTTGTCGCCATCTCGAAGAAATGTTTCTTGCATAAAACAAATGTCACAGTCTGTTTCCCACAAATGTTCTAAAACACCAACAGTCTTGTTTAAAAGAGATCGGACATTGAAAGTTCCACATCTCAACTTCTTCCTAGTCTCATCTTTTGGTCCTTGACCCTCTGGCGATAGGCGTTTTTTATCTGCTCCGTGCATCCTGCAGTTCTAGACATGACTCGTTCTTTTTCTCTTATAAAGAATGGACAAAGATTATCAGCAGCTTTATGCGTCTTTGCAGCATTTTTCTCTGTGGCACTTTTACTATTAAAGCAGTTAGAACACTTTATCCGATCAGTCCTATTTTTTATCCTGTTTTCACAGTCTTTAGAAGTATGTGCTCCAGCACAGTAGAAACATGTAGGAGAGGCATCTTTTAGCTTGCAGTACTGTGACTTTGCCATATGGCCAAATTGCTGGCAGTGGTAACATTGTACTACATGGAGTCGGTCATATACACGATGTCTTTGTAGGCCTAGGTATATATAGTCACCACATTTTCTGATGACTTCTCTAGCCTCTATGGGCAGTTGAATGACAGCAAATTTTTCTTTGATATCATAGTAGACTACTTTGACATTAGCATCCTTCATACCTGTGTTCTTTTCCAATAGTTCATCAAGGATCTTTTCTTTGCTGTCAAAATCAAGGTGAATGTCAGATATTGTTAGTTTGGGATCTAACTTCTTTGGTTCTACTGACTTTGAATTGACTTTAACTGACTTACACTTTTTTGTCAGCGCTCTTTCCGCTTCTTTGATGTCCTCTTCAGTAGTAAAACTCAGCACTGTTGTACCATTACTTACCCGTTCATCTTTAACTCGGACACCTTTAAGAGAGTTCTTCACGTCCTTACGATAAACTTCGGTCCATTCATGGTTAGTGATAGTAGTCTCTGTATCATCCTCGTTCACTGGTGACTTGGCTATAGTAATCGTGTGCCTTGCTGGCAGGGGCTTCTCTATTGGGAGGTTAGCTTGCAGGGATTCCGCAGGGGAAATGGCAGCCACTGAAATAGCTTCTTTCAGAAGATTAGGTAGGACTTCACTCAATTGTCTCTTAATTATGTTTTCTAGAGTTTGGCTGTCCTGTTCCGGAAGGGGGACAAGTGAGGTCTTTGCTAGATCAATAGCTCTGGTTGCAATGATGTATAGTTCTTTACAAACCTTGAAAATATGTTCTTTGTTGTTGCTGGTGGGTATATCTGTTAAAATCTTTGCTTCGTGGATTGTTTTCTTACCTTGAAAGGACTTTTCGTTGATTAGGTCGAGCTCTTCTTCCAGTTTCTTCAAGTCATCCATATCTGCTAGGTCCTATACCCAAGATAAGCTGTAAGTTTTTAGAAAAACTTAAACAGCTACAGTAACGTAGATCTGGGTGTGTATGATAACAACTTAACAATAGAAACCTCAAATTATTTGTTATATAGTAGTGTTGAAAGTATTAAAAACTTAATGAATTATTTATAGATAATGTATTAGATTTTATTAATTACTTTGACAGATCGGATTATATTTTTGCCCAGGAACCAATTAGTCAGTTAATTGATGATGGTATGAAACCAAATTGAGGTACTGGGAGTCAAAATTCCGAATAAAATTGTAAAATCATATTGTCCCAATCTCTGTCCCATTTTCAGTTTTTGAAGATGAAATTTCCAGGACCCAAATTTTACAGTTTTTACTGCTTTTTTCACCCGCAACCCATTAGTCAGTCAACTATAGATGCCAAATGACTCAATTGAGGTGCTGAAATTTTGATTTCGGTCATAGGAAGCCCACAGCAGAAAGCCTAACAAAACGAAAAGTTGTATTTTCAAAATCCTGTCCTATTTTCAAATATGAAATTTTCTGAACACAAATTTGACAGATTGGATGATATTTTTGCCCAGGAACCAATTAGTCAGTTAATTGATGATGGTATGAAACCAAATTGAGGTACTGGGAGTCAAAATTCTGAATAAAATTGTAAAATCATATTGTCCCAATCTCTGTCCCATTTTCAGTTTTTGAAGATGAAATTTCCAGGACCCAAATTTTACAGTTTTGACTGCTTTTTTCACCCGCAACCCATTAGTAAGTCAACTATAGATGCCAAATGACACGATCGAGGTGCTGAAATTTTGATTTCGGTCGGAGGAAGCCCACAGCAGAAAGCCTAACAAAACGAAAAGTTGTATTTTCCAAATCCTGTCCCATTTTCAAATATGAAATTTTCTGAACACAAATTTGACAGATTGGATGATATTTTTGCCCAGGAACCAATTAGTCAGTTAATTGATGATGGTATGAAACCAAATTGAGGTACTGGGAGTCAAAATTCTGAATAAAATTGTAAAATCATATTGTCCCAATCTCTGTCCCATTTTCAGTTTTTGAAGATGAAATTTCCAGGACCCAAATTTTACAGTTTTTACTGCTTTTTTCACCCGCAACCCATTAGTAAGTCAACTATAGATGCCAAATGACACGATCGAGGTGCTGAAATTTTGATTTCGGTCGGAGGAAGCCCACAGCAGAAAGCCTAACAAAACGAAAAGTTGTATTTTCAAAATCCTGTCCCATTTTCAAATATGAAATTTTCTGAACACAAATTTGACAGATTAGATGATATTTTTGCCCAGGAACCAATTAGTCAGTTAATTGATGATGGTATGAAACCAAATTGAGGTACTGGGAGTCAAAATTCCGAATAAAATTGTAAAATCATATTGTCCCAATCTCTGTCCCATTTTCAGTTTTTGAAGATGAAATTTCCAGGACCCAAATTTTACAGTTTTTACTGCTTTTTTCACCCGCAACCCATAAGTAAGTCAACTATAGATGCCAAATGACACGATCGAGGTGCTGAAATTTTGATTTCGGTCGGAGGAAGCCCACAGCAGAAAGCCTAACAAAACGAAAAGTTGTATTTTCAAAATCCTGTCCCATTTTCAAATATAAAATTTTCTGAACACAAATTTGACAGATTGGATGATATTTTTGCCCAGGAACCAATTAGTCAGTTAATTGATGATGGTATGAAACCAAATTGAGGTACTGGGAGTCAAAATTCCGAATAAAATTGTAAAATCATATTGTCCCAATCTCTGTCCCATTTTCAGTTTTTGAAGATGAAATTTCCAGGACCCAAATTTTACAGTTTTTACTGCTTTTTTCACCCTGCAACCCATTAGTAAGTCAACTTTAGATGCCAAATGACACGATCGAGGTGCTGAAATTTTGATTTCGGTCGGAGAAGCCCACAGCAGAAAGCCTAACAAAACGAAAAGTTGTATTTTCAAAATCCTGTCCCATTTTCAAATATGAAATTTTCTGAACACAAATTTGACAGATTGGATGATATTTTTGCCCAGGAACCAATTAGTCAGTTAATTGATGATGGTATGAAACCAAATTGAGGTACTGGGAGTCAAAATTCCGAATAAAATTGTAAAATCATATTGTCCCAATCTCTGTCCCATTTTCAGTTTTTGAAGATGAAATTTCCAGGACCCAAATTTTACAGTTTTTACTGCTTTTTTCACCCGCAACCCATTAGTAAGTCAACTATAGATGCCAAATGACACGATTGAGGTGCTGAAATTTTGATTTCGGTCGGAGGAAGCCCACAGCAGAAAGCCTAACAATACGAAAGTTCGTATTTTTCAATTTCTGTCCTATTTCAAGTTGTAATTTGTATTTTCAAATCCTGTCCCATTTTTCAAATATGAATTTTTCTGAATTCATGTTTTAATTTCTGTCCTATTTGCAAATATGAAAATTTCTGAACACAAATTTGACGCATTGGATGGACTTTTTGCCCAGGAACCAATTAGTCAATTACGGGTGGAAAAAAACCCTAGTTACTTATCCCCACAAACATCCGGAACTAGAGATAATTTCCCAGCTAATTAGGGTTACTGAAACTGCCCTTTTCAAGTCTTATTTTGGCCGGTTCTGGCCGTGTATTCACATACCAGTGTCCCCCCCCCCCCCCCCCCCCCCCCCCCCATTTACATACCAGTGTCCCCCCCCCTCCCCCCATTTACATACCAGTGTCGCTCCCTTGGATCGTAGTAATCCCTAGTTCCTCTGTAAGTGTATCTGAACTCAGGTAGATGATGAGCAGGGTACATCCTTGTTACACCATTCGGGGTACCTGAAGGGAGATATGTTATATAACAGACTAAAAGGGAACTGTGAAACTTAGAAATTTAAGGACGAATAATGAATGTTTACTGACCATGGTAACAATGTACAAAACTGAAAGTTTTTCTCACTCACCAAAACTGAAAGTTTGTCTCACTCACCAAAGTACTGGAACAGAAACTCATCAGACAAGTTAAAGTGTTTCTTGTAGAGGTTCTGAAGTCTTGCAGTCATCTTAATGTCATGTTTCACACTGGAGTCTCCCTTGTACACATCAACTGCAACTCTTACCACACTCGTTGACGGGTTTATCTTTACCCCAAACCTGCAATCAGTCATGTTTTTGACATCGAGGTTTACACTTGTAATGTCACTTCCGTAGCTACATACTTATTAATACTGCACGAAAGAGGGGGTTGCAGTTGCAAAATTTGTCTTGGTGGATCAAAAGATTTATTAAATACCCGCATGATATTTGAGTCTTATTCCAATATTGGTAAACGGAATTATGTCCTCTAAAAGTTCATTTAGTGTGTAACCAATAACCAATAACCATGACTCTCAATTAAGTTACATTTTATGTCATAATAAGATAATAGTAATTACACCATAACTCTGCGGACATCAATTAAGATTTTGTTGACATCTTAAAGTAGAACAAAAAGTTTGTTAGAATAGCTTAATTTTTGAGTTGTAAGAGGAAAGTATTTCCCTGACAGATTCATTTCAAAACAGTAACTGCACCATAACAGTTTTCAATATTCACAATGGCCTGGAATACCATGGTAACTGTAACTATGGTTACCAAGTAAACCTCAATACCCTGCACTGACCTAGAATACCATGGTAACTGTAACTATGGTTACCAAGTAAACCTCAATACCCCGCACTGACCTGGAATACCATGGTAACTGTAACTATGGTTACCAAGTAAACCTAAATACCTCGCACTTACCTGGAATACCATGGTAACTGTAACTATGGTTACCAAGTAAACCTCAATACCTCGCACTAACCTCGGATCATCCCTCTCAGATAAAGGTAAGTCCTCCTTCTTTCCAGTAAAGTTAAGGTTGGGTTGTTCACGTGCATTCCCGCGGATAACGTGGTGGATCAGATCACCGTCATAGAACCTGGGTTAATGTAGTTGTCATGGTAACCAATGTAGTTGTCTTAGAACCTGGGTTAAGGTTATGTCAACAAAACAATTATTGGCAGAAACTACAGTGAAGTTTTGACATTTAATTATTTGTTTTAGGGAAAGATTCGACTTGGGCTTTGTTTTAACTAATCATTTTTTAGAACTTTTATTTGTCTGTTTATGAAATATTATTTGATAAACAATTATTTATTAAAACAATTATTTATTTACGGCACGATCAACAATATCAATTTACCAGTCGTGATAATATGTCAAAAGTTCTTCAATGACCAATAATTGGGGAGTTCAATGTGGATGGCAAAGACACGATTAAGGTATAGTCCGAGACGAAAGGGAAACTCGTTAGCTTTTTGTGTTAAAAGCGATTTCTCGACGGTTATCACCTCTCTAGATGATGAGTCAAAGGGTCAGCTGCTAACAGCAAATTGTTCGCAATTGCCGACTCATGCACAACATATACTCAAAAACGCTCAGTTTAGGAGTGATTAGTAAATAAGTTTAACTACTGCATGATTTGTGAAAACTCCAACAATTTTTCATTGACACCAATTTAGCCAAAATGTGATGACCAAAATTCAACTTTTAATTTATTCATTCCATGAAGCTATGAGATGTACTAAGAATACCGGACCTAATTCAGCACAGGATCCGGGCCAGATTGTCGCTTGACCACTGACCAGTACCCCACTCTATAATTACAAGCAGGAACCAGTGGTGTCAAGACTCGAGAGACTAAAATAATTATTACCTATTTAATTCGCGTTTTTGATACCTATCTCTAACCAATCACAAGAAAACCCGATGTACCACATGGCTGAGGACAAGCTCCCACAAACTTAATATCGAGACGGGGCGATATGGCTGGAAAATTCAAGCATCTTCTACAGAGCTTGCCACTTCTGCTGCAGCTCAGACAGAATCACCATAGACCTCCTGAACGAGCTCCCTTTTAGTGACATTATTAAAGAAGACGTCCATTTGCTTAAAGAATGTCCTGTCTACAAGAAGATCAGACAAAGAAACAGCACAGACCTTCACAACATGCTCACAAATATTCAATTCAGTAATTTATTTAATGAGGATTACATTTTTGAGACCAGAAATTTTGTTTATAATCTATTTCGTGAAAGATTTCCTAAAAGTAAGCTATAACTTAGTATCCATATTCCGTGCACACTTTGAAACCATTTATTTATTTATCTACGATATTATGTTTTTTTGGTTGGTTGTATAACTTTCATTTAACTGATTGGGATCTGACACATGTAATTTTGTAATGATCTTTCTAATTTCTAATTTCTAATTTCTAATTTCTAATTTCTAATTTCTAATTTCTAATTTCTAATTTCTAATTTCTACCACTTGGGGATCCAAATTTTATATATATATATATATATATATATATACAATGAAAACAACGATTCTACAAACTCAAAGTTTCATGCAAATGCAATCATCAGTGTCAGAATAACTTACTAAATTACTAAATCCATATTTTCCTTACAAGCTCCTTCATAAAATTAACTTAACTAAACTAAATCAAAAACAAAATCAAATGAAACGAAACGAAAATGAAATACAAGAACAAAAACTAAAATTAAAATTAAATATTCCTAAAAGCATTTCTTCAGCATAAACTTGTTGGTGTGCCTACATTTACTTATGAGTTCCCTCCTCCTATTTAATAAATTGCCATCTTTATTTAAAACAATATAAAGTTTTTCAGTAAGGCAGAGATGACAATCTTTCGTACCCCCCTTGTACGGATGAGCATGTTCATATATATATATATATATATATATATATATATATATATATATATATATATATATGTACATGTATCGTCTCGCTTTATAAATAGTGAGATAATTGACTTCGCTGCCTCGACCAATATTGGTCTGTAATCCCTGGATTGAGATCTGTTGACCGCAGTTTAATCTAACTCATTTACAATAATAGTAATACCGCAAAAAGAATATGGGGTCATTCTGAAGTGGGAACCAAACCACTGCGGTATTATAGGAAATTAGCTAAATTTAAATACTGGATCCGGGCCAGATTGTTACTTGACCGCTGACCGGTACCCCACTTTATAATTATGATTGACTTCGCTGCCTCGACCAATATTGGTCTGTAATCCCTGGATTGAGATCTGTTGGCCGCAGTTAAATTGAGCAAATTACCTATAATACCGCAGTGGTTTGGTAATTGGTTCCCACTTCAGAATGACCCTATACTCTTTTTGCGGTATTACTATTATGGTAAATCATTAATGTAAATGAGCGAAGTCAATTATAATTATAAAGACAACATAACGCAGTGTAAAGCGTCCAGCATTTTTTCTGAGCGGAACAATTGTCTGCCCACAGAATAATTTCGCGGCTTTCACCAATTCTCCCTTCAGCAAAATACCTTATAGCTTTGACCCATGTTGAAGATACGTTCTCATCTTTCCTCCCAGCAATAGCAATTTGCTTCATTTTAGGTCAGGCAAGCTAAAAGTCTGCAGTCTCAACTGATTAGAGAATATATTTTGAAAGGTTCTGCATTGACAAATTTTGACGGCAATTTTGACGGCGAAGCTAGCGTTTCTGAAGTTTATGACCATCACCAATCGATCCGTCGTGAAAATGTAGATTTTTAAGTACCGATTATATAGCTTCAGTTTACAGAATCAACATTTACTTAAAAGTATAATGGCATTTAAGCACTTTTGTGAGAAAACGAGCACTTTTGTCAGAAAACGGCAGGATAGTGGCATTGAAACTCAAAATTGTACAGCCAACACTCTCCAATTACAAAACAGTTACAATTACAAAACAGAGCTGTCACGTGGGGGTCTTTCCCGAAATGTTACTGGTCGACAAACGTATTCAAGCAATAGCTTATCACAACTACGGCGACAGATAAATATAAGATAAAGCAAGATATCGAGCTTACGTATCAGGTGTATCAGGTGTCTATTTTTGGAACTACAATATATTACACGAAACGCAAAACGGACCCCTCAGGGTGTCAACGTTGCATTAGCAACAATGTCCATGAATTACGTCATCATCATATGTTTACTAAGGGAGGCCGGAAATGTAGCCCTATTCTATAAATTCGGATCCTATACACTTATACAGCTATCTGTGTGTAATTTAAGAAGCATCACGTATTTTGGAAATTGTAGATTTAAGATTACCGAAGAAAGCTTTGATAAACGAAAAATCATGAAAATGTCATTTTGAAAATGCATTATGTAAACAAACAAAATCCCGATTTACCGCGGACCCTGATTTACTGCAGATGTTTCCTTTCCCCAAACTCCACGGTAAATCGGGGTTTCACTGTATCAGCTTTTCTCGGCCCAAATTTCACTTTTTCGAATTTTTCATCAATGACCAATTAGCTGAATAGGAGACATTTTGGAACAGTTTATCCAAAGTTATAAACAACCTTATTCAGATCTTCGTACAAGTATATTATATATATATGGTAAAGTACAAATAAAGGGTTAAATCGAGACAGTTTAATTATGAAATAAAACGTGAAAAATAGGTATAACAAATCGCTATACTCACGTGACATTTTATGTACTCACGTAACATTGGGATCGGGAGGAGTCATATAAAACGCTTCCTCCGCCTTCTTAGCAGTGAGGGAGACTAGTTTGGAGAGTTGCTGAAGGAGGAGCCCTGTCTTATTGGTTATAGCTACAAGCCTCCCTTCTTGCTTGTAATCTTCGTACTGTTGTAAAGGCATTATAATATTGAGAAATGATATCAGTGCTTCAAATAGCGTTCTAAAGCTAAAATTTTCAGAATTTCGTCAAGGCAGTAGTCAAGTTTATCTGACACTAATAAGTACAACAAATTTATCCAATAGTGCTATAGTGGAATGACAAGAGCCAGAAGTACAGTACAGTTTTATTCTGCGGCATTAATTTTATAGCTATTATTAAAATTATAACCTGAATGTTTCGAAAAGCATCTTTGAAGTCACTGAACTGGCCCTCGTTGTCCATCTTCTTCTGAAGGTTAGTGTAAGCGTCGATAGAGAACTGCAGGAGGTCACTAGCTCCCTTTGAGGGGGCAGCAGGTGCCAGATATGACATCAGAACTAGTACTGCAAAGTCGACCAGCATCCTGGGAAAAGATAGTGTTGTAGGTTCAGGGCTTTACGCCAACCGTCAAACGCTACCGTGTAAAACTGTTAAAACTGATTTTTAACCCTTGAAAAACAACCCAACTGCCATTATCCACCACCACCTAGTTGTTTCAAACAACTAAATAGCTAAAAGTTCAAAGAAAACGGCAGACATCGATATTTTGCAGCTTTCATCTAGTAGCGAAATGGTTCTACTTCTAGTTCTATCAAACGATAGACTCTATGAAACGAGGACTGTACAGGAGCCAATTACGAAATTTGTGCGGCTTCAATAGACGATATTGAATGTTGATATTGTCAGCATATTGATAATCACTGAAATTAATGGCATTGTTATAATGACGGATCGTTTTTACCAATCGGGCATAACCAACCTCAGTAACAACGTATTCACCCAAATTTGTCAGTTAACTTTAACATATCTATAACGCTTTTGTTTGTTTGAGTGTTTTCATGCATTTATTTTGGAGGCTGTGACATTATGTGACGTTATGCATTTTCCTCAGAATTTCAGCAATTATCATAAATAATAGTGGCCAGTGGGTCACAAACTAAATACTCAAAATAATCCAAGTAATTGAGGTTTCTGTTATTGAACAATGTATCATTCCAAGCGGACCAATATCTCAGACGTTATCACTACTAATATAATATAAGATTCACTATTCAATAATTATTTTAATACTTTAAGTTTATACATGCTTATAATAATTATAAAGGCATTAAGCTCATAAATAAGGCATCTGAATTTAAGCAATTCAACAAAGAGTGACTCAAGTTAAAATTAACGATGTTCTAAAGGCTTCACAACGGCACTTAATAACGACACAAGTTCAAAGTCGTCTATAATTAACGGAAAACAGCTTGCAACCCCCCTTAATTTCCATTTCCGTGGCTACTTGACCCTTCAAACTGTGGGGTAATGTACGCTGCCGAGGTTTTCAATATGTAATTCTTAGCTTTATCAAGGAAACCTATACTTATGATAACTGAGCAGATGGGTTTAACTGGTTAAACTTCATGATTAGTTATCCGCACGTGTTTAAAATTATTTATCTATATAAATTTATAAGCTGTCAATTTAAGGTAAACTTTATAAAAGAAGCATCTAATTCTAAAGACGTATTGAAACAACAGTCAAAAACGCCAAAGTAATGACATTAAACAATATCCTGGAAATGGGGCTATGAACATTATCATTGATTATGATTGTAAACCGGGACAGTGCCCGGGTGGTTCTAATGACCAATTTTTTATTCCCCTTTTGGTGCCCCTAAAGTTGGACAAATTAGGTTATTTTAGAGGATACGCCGGTATAAAAGTGTGTTTCTAGATCAAAACGCGCAGTTTTGCTAGTACCTCAGTTAAGTTTTTCAGAATTGTCCCACATTCAAACAACGATTTGCCCCCCCCCCCCCCCCTCCCCCCTAAGATGGCGGGGTCAGCAGGGCCCTTCGTTACGCCACGGATTATAGTGTAGGGCGGAACTGAAACGACACTGTCAAGAACCTTAGTGTAAACCATTAAACCTGCCCAAAAGCTGCAAACAATCTCAATAATAAACTCGCTCAACCAACACCTAAGGTTACAGTGGATTTAGTAAACTGAAAAGCAGAAGAACATTGTGCTATCAGGTATACAGTAGAGAAATTCCTAAATCGTCAAAAGAACAAAAGTTTACCACAGAAAATGTTTATCTCTGAAACGTATTGCAGTGCAGGACGCAGTATCTAATTGGACTAATTTAGAATTCTATCAATATCATCTTCAATTAATCTTCAGTTAACTTATTCATATTCAACTATCTGATTGGTTATGTTTAGCTGAGTAAAATCTAAACTAAAATCTTTTGTTTCGATGACGAAATGTTCTGAAGTGAATATAACAGTAACTTAAGATATGATTATCAGAAAAGGATAGCCGTGAAAAAAGACGGAGTGGGTTTTAGGAAACATAAATTAAAACGACCGGTATTATAGTAGTACTAGTATAATATTTGTTTCCAATGACAAACTTCGATTGTCTTCAGCCCGATATAAATACATAACAGCAGTTTATAATCAGTGATAACATACTAAGAATTAAGAAGCTAATTACCTCCAAAAAAGTAATAGATGTGAACAACAGCCGAAAACAACCAAACGAACAAGTGCCTGTGACTTAGCAACTAGATTTAGAAATTCAGGCAGGGTGGATGGACAAAGTGGTCTCAATTCTGGAGGAAGCTCTATGTAATTAATTATTATTAATTATAATTAATTGATATATTAGCGAGTTGAACGCGTTCGGAGAAGGACAGGGAGGGTGGTATTGGTTCAGAATAGGGAGGTACATTTTAACAAAAGATTCATAATATCATCTCAAACCTGAACTTCTCTCATCTCAAGAGTTAGGGTATAGGGGAGGAGATAATGGGATTGATTTCAGGTCAGTTTGTATTTAGTACTGCTCTTCGTCAACGACAGGTGACAGGTCAAATAGTGATTCCTTCCAAGTGTCATCTTGGTCTGTTTTAGGCAGTTGTTGCCTACTATATATTATAATCCTTCTGGTTGGGTCCATCGACTGTGGAATAAGAAGATTAATCTCAAGAATTCTTTAATATCAAACGAGGAGTTGAATAGTAACCATGGTAACGCGGTTGGAACGCGCACACGCACGTGCAAGGATTAGAGAGGGGGATAACGATGGTTATGTTAAACTTATTTAATTCGGTTGCACTTAGTTATGAACTGAGTTCGAATTAAAAGTCTCTGCTATCCCTTGTCTTAACTCGATTTGTCTCTAATTTAATCGGCGAATTTCAAATTTACGCCCGATCAGGGATAATTTGTGATAATTTTACTCCTACCTAGAGCTGAGTAGATGTACCATTGCAGGATTTTAGTGACGCACAAATGTGATGACGTATTAATATAATAATGACGCACAGACTTAGTGACGCACTAGTTTAACTAAGCGATATCACAAACCTGAAACCCTGTACAGCTGGAGTTTAACTTTAAAAGATCAGGCTGGGGGGTATTATTTAGGTGGTGAATAATTTCAAGGCATTAGAAAAGCTTCCGATTTAGTTAATCTGTTTTCTATGTAGTCACTAGCTCAAAATCTAATGTTCTAAGTCGATCTACATAACACTCGAATGTCAAGATACTGCAATTTGAATCCACAAGAATGAAAATACCGTTGGAGGCTTATTTCAAATTTTAAAACTTAGCGATCATCATGCGATATTTCTTTATATAATTTTAAGGTTAGGGTTTTGTGAGATCAGGATGAGAGCAGGGGCCAGGTTTTGGGTTATCCGTCAAAAGCCGGAGGTGTACGGGTACCATAATCAGTCAAAGTTTATGAAAGCAAGCACAGAGTTATTAGTAATCTTCCGCTCGACATCCCATCCAGCCATCCTTATATTCAGGCATACTGCATAGAGGAAGCTGGAAATATTGTAACCACTTTTCGCGTGCACGAGAGAGGCTTGCAATGTGTAGCAATTATTATTAAATGGAAATAAGGGTTCAGGAGCGAAGCCCCCAGAAAATTTGGCCCCCTGTGAAATTAAATAAGGTATAACCGGTTAATACAATTAATTTCCACCTATTTTGTATGTTCTTATTAAGTCGTGTAGCGTCAAACGCTACCGTTTAAAACTATTAAAACTGATTTTTAACCCTTGAAAAAACAACCCAACTGCCATTATCCACCACCACCTAGTTGTTTCAAACAACTAAATAGCTAAAAGTTCAAAGAAAACGGCAGACATCGATATTTTGCAGCTTTCATCTAGTAGCGAAATGGTTCTACTTCTATCAAACGATAGACTCTATGAAACGAGGACTGTACAGGAGCCAATTATGAAATTTGTGCGGCTTCAATAGACGATATTGAATGTTGATATTGTCAGCATATTGATAATCACTGAAATTAATTGCATTGTTATAATGATACTGCAATTTGAATCCACAAGAATGAACATACCGTTGGAGGCTTATTTCAAATTTAAAAACTTAGCGATCATCATGCGATATTTCTTTATATAATTTTAAGGTTAGGGTTTTGTGAGATCAGGATGAGAGCAGGGGCCAGGTTTTGGGTTATCCGTCAGAGGCCGGAGGTGTACGGGTACCATAATCAGTCAAAGTTAATGAAAGCAAGCACAGAGTTATTAGTAATCTTCCGCTCGACATCCCATCCAGCCATCCTTATATTCAGGCATACTGCATAGAGGAAGCTGGAAATATTGTAACCACTTTTCGCGTGCACGAGAGAGGCTTGCAATGTGTAGCAATTATTATTAAATGGAAATAAGGGTTCAGGAGCGAAGCCCCCAGAAAATTTGGCCCCCTGTGAAATTAAATAAGGTATAACCGGTTAATACAATTAATTTCCACCTATTTTGTATGTTCTTATTAAGTCGTGTAGTGTTAATGTTATTATTGACTCTTATTTGACGATTCTTTCAAGAAATTTTCTGATTTTTCTGAATAGACTCAGCGATGACAATGTTCTAATAATAATATAATGAAAGTTGTGTATGTGATCCGACTTGAATATCCGATACATGAGTCATGACGTAGATATGATACATAAAATAGCCGTCAGACAGGAAATAGCCGTCAGACGGGTCAGGAGAGATCATCCAAGGGTGACCCAGGCTTCTAATTCTAATACTTTGTGGTTTTCTTCTTTGTAAGATTGCCGGGAGTGTAAACGAGATTACTCACATTTTGGCGATATTCCACATCACACACGGAAGAAGGTTTGTTCTCCTGCTTCACTTCTGAGGTGGTGAGTGAAACAACTTATAAGATCCAGGACTGTAATGAAAGGGATGTGACAGTGTCATTCCGGGAAGCCTAAAATAAGCCCGATATCAGTGAAAACTGAACGGATCTAGCCTGATACGTCACGGTTGGAGAGGTCTGCATTCACCGACCACATACAGGAATTAATGTGGATCTATTAATAGACTTT